ACACAACATTACTCCCCTTCTCAGAGAAGCAGCTTGTCCTCAAGCTTCATATTTGCTAGAGCTGACTATTCCTACATGTCAGCTGGTCCGCTGTTCTTTCTTGTATAAGCCGGACTAGATGGTAACTGGAACGAAGGTCTAGCTTGGTGTATTTTCTTCTTCATTTGTTTATAGGGTAGTTTCTTCATCTGTTCATAGATATTTTGTGCCTGATCCACTCTGTTTTTATTTTCAGTAGAATCTGATTTCCCCAAAGCAATAACAGATTTGAAGATTTTGATTAAACAAGTTAAAGTACAAATTCCTCAAAGAAAAGATATTGTCATGCGAATTGAACTACTCCAGCATGCAGTGAATAATTCACTCTCTGTGAAAACATCTGAAAGTAAGAAATATGTTCTAGTTTATTCAAATTGAAAATAAACCAACCAATCATATGTAATTTTTCTCATATTTTATTTGCTAAACAGGGCTACTTCGCTCTTTGAAGAATTTGGTCCTCCTCGAAGACACATTTCTATTTGATGGCAAGGATGTGAAGGTTGTTATAAATGCAATCGAAGATGAAATGAAACCAGCTTCAACAAAGCCTGCGCTTCCAGTAAAGAAGAGGATGAGTGCTCGGCTGACTGAGTTGAGGGACAAGGAGCAGTCCAGTCCTGACCTGCCTCCCCCTCCCTATCCTTCACGAGTTCGCGATGGGAATAGGGAACGCAGGAAGGGGGTATGGGGCAAGGAATCCAAGAGGTGAGCATTTGAAATATAGATTGTCTTTTCAGCATAGCACCCTCTGAAAAAGAAACTTGGCATGCTCATATTTCTTGAGTAAAATATTCCTCTTGTTCCTTTTTGTGGCTGATGCATCTTGCATGAATGAATTTATGGCCATCCAAAACTAGTATGTGTTTCCAACAGCCTAAAGAGAGTCCATCCAAGACTAAAATGAAAAACGTCACATACCGATGTATAATTTCTAGCTCTTCTCCTACAGTCAGATCTGGAACATTTAGATGAAGATGCTTAGGTACAAAGGGCTGCATGGGTAACTTGATCAGAATGATGAAAAACAATAGGTATCTCAACACTGGAACTAGGATAGTTTCATCATGTCTAATTTTCCATGGGCATTCAGTATGCCCTGATGGGATTGTTGAGTAGTTCTGCCTACATGGCCACATGGGCAGAAATACAGAGGAAAGCCTGGAAACTGTTGAGGTAGATGCAATGAAGACATGCTAAGTTATTCGAAGTGCGGGGATGGGGGTTTCTTATGCTGTCAGTTTTGAGGTGTTGAAACTAAGCCTAGTGGTTGATGCTATTTTTCCTAAGTGAAGTTGTCATTCACATTTGATGGGCCTCTCTCTCAAAGCAGGGCAATCCTTGTCTGAGCTGTATGATTGAGGTTTCTATACACGTGGTGCTGCACTCCCACTCCACATCACTGCGTGCTTGCAGTTGGCCTCCCGATAAGCATCTGACCTTTTAAGTTGCATATGTTGTCAGGTGAAAAGGCTTCATGGACGCCCCGCGCAAGGCCCTTGTCAACAAGTCAAGTTACTCGAGTACCGTCCCGACTCCTCCCTCCCAGGATCACTCGTCTGTCCACGAAGATTGAGCACTTGTAAAGTTGTGTGCTTCAACACGAACTGTCTTCTCATTTGAAGGCAAGACGCCCGTGACCGACAGCAAAATGATAATGTGGCGAATAGTTTTTGTTGTGCGGACGTACTTTGGTTTGTTGCTTCTGAGGATAGATAGATGCATAGATCTCAGCAGACCATTCCATGCGTACTGTCGCTTTACCTGGGAAAACAGTGGCCTCTACAGGAACCTTGTAGCCATGTAATCGTGTCAGGTTCCCGACTGTTGGCTGTTACAAATGTAGATGGATCTAGGATGCCTGTGTTTTGCTGATAGTCCTCGCTGATGAGTTGTTGGAACGTGCATATTAGAACTGTGTTGCGAGTATCCGTCGCCAGATGATTTGTTTGTCGTGGGAGTAGAGTGTCGCCCGGTCACCATGTTCAAAGAATGCGCATGCATGCTCTCTCACCCAAGGACGTCACGCATTGTTCACTCCAGATCTACAACCTCCAATCTGTACTGTACCCATTGTTCACTCTTGCATAATAGGTTTTTTTTCCCCAGTGATCTGACGCTGTCGTGTCGAGCAGGAAGGACGAACGGGGCCCAATATCACCATTATTTACTCCAACTCTCAATATCTCCCAAATATCCCTAAATATACTCACTCCCGCCGTGGCCAATTAAACTAGTGCCTCTCCTTCTCCCACCCTTGCGCCGCCCTGTCTCCCGTCGCTGTAGCCGCCACACGCCCACCGATGACCGTCCGTCCTGATGGAATGGATACCCTGAACCCTTCCCTCACCCTGCCGGCCACCGCCGCTGAAAATCTTGCTAGATCTACCTTTGCTAAATGCCGGATGGCCGGCCGGCTGGGTTGTAGGGCGTCGTGCGATGGTGCGTAGGCGGGGGTCGAGGGCGTTGCCTACTCTGCCAAGATACATACGGAAAAGTAATATAGATATGAAAAGATGGACCAATGGGCTTCTTTTATTAGTTTCTACACCGGTTCATCAATTGTGGAAGACGTAACATGCCCGCTTCAATTAATTACCGGAGTTTAATCACATGATTCGTGGAAAAAATGCTGAGGTGGCATGCGATTGATATAGTGAGGCTGCAAACTAAATGATGAGATGGTATGATGACGATGATATGGACAGTGCACATGTTGAGAGAATTGATAGTAGTGATGATCGATTTATTAAGAATGTAAGATTTATTAGCTAGCGGGTTACGGCCTAATGTCCAAGCGGGAATTCTCACTTATTTTGCGGCACCGAACATATCCATACAAGATTTAAGGCTTGAGCGAGAGCCGTCCCGCCCAGTGCTTGTAGCTCCCACATCCACAATACACATCTGTTCTACCAGAGCCGAACATTATGCGCTTCTCATTGAGAAACTTTTGCGATTAATTAGGTGCCATGTAGCAAAATCCACCCCTATCCGGCCTGGGAGCTTGATTACGTCAATAGAAAGAAAATGCTTTCAAAAATACCACAAAGAAACTTTATAGGCAAGACTAAACATATTATATGTCAAAAGTAAAAGAGGGCCTGTTAAAGTTGGAAAATATTATATATCAAGAGTCCGAAAAATCATGTACGAGTAAAAAAAAAATCAAGCAAAGTTTAAAATGAAAAAAAGCCTCCCCGGGTACTGCTTTTCTTGGGCTCTGGCCTCTATATCCTTTGTGGGCTATGGCCGCTTTTTTGTGTGGCCCTTGGCCTCTTTTTTTCCTCACTTTTACCTCTCTCTTTTTTCCTCTCATTGCCGGCCGGCTGTGTCCACTCCCCCCGTGGAGGCAACGCCATGTAGGCAGGCCAGTAGATAAAGCAGGGTGCACCGTGCCACAGCGGGCGATGTGGGACAATTTACGAAACTACCAGGAGCGGCGCTCTCGCCCGCCCGCCCGCATGGGCCGGCTCGGAACAGTAACGCGAAACATAACCGGCCCATCAGTGGTTTCAGCGAAATAAAAAAGTTTATTTACGCGATAGGTTTGCTAGCTAAAGTAGCCGGTCGAGAGATCGAACGCCCAACCTCGCATTATCCTTTCTTTTTTTTAAAAAAAAATCTCTCATTTATCCATCGTTGTATGAGAGAGCTACTTATCACTACTCGTTGTTACTGTGAGAAGCATCATGTTTACATCGTAAACCATTAGCATACGGTGAGAAGCATCCTCTGCTCATTCTTGGACCAATGCATTACTGTCCAAGGCACTTCTTGGACGACAGGCTAGAGAGCTGGAGACTGTGGGTAACAGAATAATTAATAAATAGGACAATGCAAACAAATATTTAGATCATGTATGTAGATGATGAAAATAAGACCTTCAGTATCTCGGTGAGCTTCGTCTTCGCCTTGTTCCGGATTTGGCTACCATCCAAAAGCATGTGTTGTATTGGTTTGGTTCCTGTTGTCACCTGCAAATTAGTGTGTGCAACGACTCAGCTCATTTTTCCTGTTAACTGTTATGGTGTGCAGTGTTCAAACTACTAGAACAGTCAAGCCCTTGCAACAGGGCACCATTACAAAAGAGAAGTGTGGTGGCCACAGCAATTCTTCATTTGGGAAATATTCTTGCTACTTCAACATGTACAAAGAAGTGAAACATGATCAACATGGAGAAACGATTAATCTGAAAAATTAGTTGCATATCTTATCAAAGGTTTGAGTTTTGACCAGTTGAACAGAAGTACTGTATAAATTCATAAAACTACACAGGTACCTCTTTTCTCTCTGATATAATTTAGCGTTCTCCTGGAACACAAAGCTTCAACAATAACAAAAGAACAATCATTTGCAAAAATTTGTCCAGTCTTGCTATCCAACAAACAAGAAGACATTTTCATTGAGAACGAGCAGGCTCATTAATAATGATTTCCTTTTGTATCTACAATCAAACAGATTTTCCATCTTTGATATTTTCAAATACATGTCATATGGCATGGCCCCGCCCATAACAAGATGAAACTCATCCCAGGACCAGAGATAGCTCCAACAGTAGGATGACAGCACAACAGGTGAAATGAAACACCTTGCAACACTGAACAACCTAAAATAGATTCATAGAAGTAGAGAAACATCAGTCACTACTCTTGCCACCATATTGACATATTAGAAATCAGACTTCCAGGGCAACATTGGGATGTGAGGCATGAAAACCATTGCTCCAAATTTATGACTGGATAAAACTGGGTGTATCTAAACCATAGAACCTGAAGCTACACAAATGTTCTTCACGTGCATACAGCACAAGACGCTACATTATTCAAGGTACACAATTCAGATCTCGTATTGCAAAAACAGCAATAGATAAATTAAAGACAACCACGAAGAGACATCACCCCAGAGTCACCGAGACCACATATGGTACCACCAAATTCCTCAGGTGGCGGCAAAGTCATTCACTTGCCCTCCCTCGCCAGCTTACTCCACTCGGTGTGGAAAGAACCTGGGCGGTCAATGCGCTCATAGGTGTGTGCTCCAAACAAGTCCCTCTGTGCTTGGATCAGATTTGCTGGCAACCGGTTGCACCTATAGGTATCAAAGTATGAAAGGCTCGCAGACATCCCTGGGGTGCTAATCCCGGCCTCTACTGCCCGGGCCACAACCCACCGCCATGCGCCCTGCCTCTGCACCATCTCCCTGGCGAACTCCCTGTCGACAATCAAATTGGCCAGCTCAGGGTTCCTGTCATAAGCCTTCTTAATCCTATCAAGAAACCTTGCCCGAATAATGCATCCACCCTTCCAAATCCTTGAAAGCTCGGCAAGGTTAAGATTCCAGCCCTGCTCCACACTCTTGGCTCTTAGCAGATTCATCCCCTGTGCGTAGCTGCAAACCTTGGACGAATAAAGCGCTTGCCTGACCCTGTCCACCAGCACCTTCTTATCGACATTAATCTTCTCCAGAAGCCCAACTGGCATCCCCTCTTCCTCTAGCACACTTGCGGCTGCAACTCGCTCATCCTTGAGCCCCGACAAGTACCTCCCATCCAGCGATGCTGCAATCGTGGGCGCAGCGACTGCAAGCTCCGCCGCCTGCTGCACCGTCCACTTCCCGGTCCCCTTCATCCCGGTCTTGTCAAGAATCTTGTCAACCAGCGCCCCGCCGGTGCTCCCCTCCAGTGGATCAGCCACAGTGAATATGTCTGCAGTAATCTCCACCAAGAAGCTCTCCAGCTCTCCCTTGTTCCACTCGGCAAACACATCGGCTATCTCCGAGTTTGAGAGGCCACCAACACGGTGGAGCACGTCATAGGCTTCGGCGATGAGCTGCATATCACCATACTCGATCCCGTTGTGCACCATCTTGACAAAGTTGCCGGCGCCACCGGGCCCGACAAACGTGACGCACGGGCCGTCCTCCGTCTGAGCCGCAGCCTTCTCAAGGATGTCCTTGATGTTGCTGTAGGCCTGGAAGTCGCCGCCGGGCATGAGCGAGGGGCCGTTCCGCGCGCCCTCCTCGCCGCCGGAGACGCCCATGCCGAGGTAGAGTATCCCGCGGGAGGCGGCCTGCTCGATGCGGCGCTCCGTGTTCTGGTACCACTCGTTGCCGCCGTCGACGATGGCGTCGCCGGCGTCGAGGTAGGGCGAGAGGGCGTCGATGGTGGCGTCGACGGCGGGGCCGGCCTGGACGAGGAGCACGACGGTGCGGGGGCGCGCGAGGGAGAGCACGAAGTCGCGCGGGTCGCGGTGGCCGAGCACGGGGAGCGCGCCCTCGGCGGCGGCGCGGGAGAGCGTGGAGTCGACCTTGGCGGCGGTGCGGTTGTAGACGGAGATCGGGAAGCCCTTCTCGGCGATGTTGAGCGCGAGGTTCTGGCCCATGGTGGCGAGGCCGGCGAGGCCGATGCGGGGAGGCGGGGACTGCGCCGCAGCGGCCG